AAAAAAAAAAAAAAAAAACAATACAACAAAATATATATCCAAAAATGAAAAAAACAAAATCACGTACCAATCCGAGATCATTTAGAGCTGCACTTGCATCGTAAGCAGAAGAAGACAAGGGCACATCGACCAGATTCGCTAAATACGTAACGTCTTGCATATTCAAGCTCTCGTTCAACTCATCTTCGTACACTAAATGCTTCCCAAACATCCCACGAATAAAATCCGAACTTTCCTCTTCTGGGCCCAACTGAAGACAGAAGAATAACAGCTGCAAAACGGCATCTGGATTATCAAGAACGACCAATTTCCCATTACCGGTGCAGAAAACAAAAAACCCAAAAGGCCGATAAGGACTGAGCTCGACAATATTAGCCACCGTCTCGAGCAACAAATTCGTGCAACCCTTGAGATAACACGCTGCATGGCTCGCTACAGATAAAGAGTTTCTCATCACGGTCAACATAAAACTCGACGCAATATTGGGATCAAGAGAACCATAAGGGGATTTCGGGTTGAGAAATTCCAATACGTGAGTAAATCCGTGCTCGATTTGCGAGAGAGGAGTTAGCATTATCCGAGGTACAACGTCGTGCTTTGTCAAGAAATTGATGAAAAAACGAGCCCAGTTTTCGCGCCTGAGGGCATGGGAGAAAATGTGGCTCCCGACAAGTGGGGACCCGAAAGTCAGGCAGAAAGGGGATATGTTGTTCCGATTGAATCTTATGTACTTTTCGAAAAACCAAATGGATGCAAGGATGGCTGTGGATCCACCTGAAGAGTGTCCTGTGAAGATTATTTGCTTTTTGTCTGATATGGCTTTTTCAACCTGAAAATCCAAAAATACTATGAAATGAAAAGGAGTGCAAGAATTCAGACAATTAAGTAAATACAAGAATGAGATCTAGGTGGGATTCCTTGTCTTTTTCCTGTTTTCTTGCATTGACTATTGAGTTCTAATAGGTTTGGGTAAGAGCTATATAGCTACTACCCTACACTACTATCATTTTATAGTTCATTCTTTAACATTCAAGATCAATAAGGTAAGAATTGTAGTTGAAACTGAAAGCATCTGCAGTAGTTATAAACAAACACATGGTTGTAAAAGAACTGATTTTTTTTTTTTTCGATTTGTGATTTGAATTCGGTATTCGTGATACGTATTCGTGAAACTCAAATTCAAAGAATCACAAATTAAATTCGATAGGAAATCGAACAAGAATCTTCGAGTATTTTCACGAATCCAAATCAAATATTTTCGTTCATAACTAACAACCCTGCACACACATCAGCAGCCAGTAACCTTTGACACTTGCAATTTGGTTGCTACAAGGATAACATAAAGTTTTGACATAATAACACGTGCAACGATCATGTTACATTACACATCACATTACTTTTAAAATCGACTATTAAACATTAACATTTACCTTTTGTTATCCACTATCAAGAAATTCTGTCAAAGTAACTTTGTCAATTTGGTTATATATACATCTTGAGCTTTTTTCTAGCTAGTCCTAACCTCAGGGGTATTCTTGTAATTTACCATAACTAACATCATTGAACACCTCAGATTCTGTTTCTTTGATCAGATGAGAAAGAAAAAAAAAAAATTCTGCAAAGTGCAAACAATCTCAAAAGAACCCAAAACAAGAATTTTCACAAAACATAAAATGATCAAAATTAAATGGCAGCTACAGGACAAAAAAGTCAACCTCAGTTGCAAGTGATGTTCTTTCCAAAAGCTCCTCAAATCTCCTGCTAAAAGCCTCATTCACAAGAGCAATTTCATCATAACCAACGCTCTTCAAAGAAGGAAACTTTGACACATCAACCTTACCATCCCCAAAGGAATTCTTGCCGTACCAATCGCCGGCGGCCCACGATCCCGGGAAGGCGAAGAAAGTCTCGGTCGAGCCTCGAGCTTTCTCGACAACAAATGGCTTGAAAGGGGACTTGTCGTGAGCTTTCATGGACAGCTTGCAAGCCCTTTGGATGATCTCCTCTTTTAGTCCTATGATGTCCCCAAGCCTGTTGTTGCCCATCATTCTTGCTTGCTCTGCTTTTTTCTTTTCTCTCTTTTCTTGATTATGGGGTTTGGTTGAGCTGTGGGGATATTTTGAGAGAGATGGGGGAATGGGATGGGATGGGATGTTTCTTTTGTGGAAACTTTTGGTGAGTGGATGACCAATGAAGTAAGGAGAAAATTGCAAAACAAAATAAGTGAATTTTATATACTTCAATTAATGCTACGGCCCCGTTACGGAACTATACCGTCAGAGTTTGTAACCGTTAAATCAACTATCCCCGACGGTTACACGTAGCATCTCCCTCTTTCTTAATTTATTTATTTTGGCAAACTTCATTTGTTGTATTTTAAATTTTGCAAATTGAGACATGCATTTGACTTTGGTTATTGGTGAATGAGGTGTTGGGTAATATCTTCCACAAATAATGGATCAGAATATCAGAAAGTCTTGGTCAATTAAAAAAAAAAATGATGTTCATATAAAATATG